CTCATGTTCTTATTGCATGCAATTTATTATGGGGAAGTAACAAAAGTAAACATTTTTGAAAATGGAAAATAATAAATAAATTAAATCTCATGTTCCTATTGCATGCAACTTATGGGAAGTGTGAAAACTCTATCATACAATAGATGCCCATAAAAAAAACTCTCAATAAATTTATCATCATGCAAAAAGTACCTAGGGGCATAAATTGTGCTGAGTTCTTGATAATCGAGCTCGAGCGCTCGAGCTTTTATTGAGTCGAGCTCGTTAACTACATGAGCTCAAGATCGACTTGTTTGCTAATATCAACTAGCCGAGCTCGAGTCTTAACTCTTAATTAGCCGAGATAAAGAAAATTGTATAAGAACTAATGTTTATTTTTTATATATCCTTAACGAGCCAATAAGTTTAGCTCAACTTGTTAGAATTTGGCTCGTTAACTAAAGAGCCAATAAATGAGTTCAAGATCGACTTGTTTATCGATATTAATAATTCAAGCTCAGGCTTAAACGAGCCGATCTATTAAAATTATTAGAAACTCTTTTTCTTTTTTTAGCGTTACCGAATCTAAATAAGCTATCCTAAGTTCGACTCATTAACTAAACGAGCTCGAGTCTTTACGAACCAAATCGATTTCATGAGCTATGTGTTGTACTTTTCATTGAAAAACCAAAATTTTAGATCGTATCACACATTTTTTTCCTTAAAAAAATGATACCTTTAATGAACCCCAAAAGTCTTATATTAACACTACGTTTTTCTAGGAAGAAGACATGGTACAATACAGTGAACCAATAAAAAAAAAATTATGTTTATCCACACTGCTCACGTTCTTAAAATGAATCATAATGAAGAACTTTTATTAAAGTATTCTTCTTCATTTTTATTTATTTTTATTTTTAATTTTTATTGAGTGAAATCTGCCAACTGCAGCGCCGCGAAGGCCGAAGAGTAGTGCAATTCTAAGCAACTATTAAAATGATAATTAAAAAAAAAAACAAAATTAAGTGTAGAGGAGAAATGAAAAAAAATTAAAATTTAATCGTAGGATTAAAGAATTAGGAACGTGTTTTATTTAATTCAAAAAAAAAAAAATGAATAAAATAAAAATCATTTTTTAACCAGATTTTAATATTAAAGTATGATATTTCGTAATTTAAATATTCATTTTTTGTTCTAAAACTGTGAGTTTTTTTTTTTTGGTACAAAGAAAGAGGCCAACGATCTAGGTTAGAACTTGTCGAAGATATGACACCCTAATGTTATTATCGTGCTGGAGCCATTCGCCCAACCCTAACGGAGGAAGGCAAAACTGTGAGGTTTTTGACCAATTTAAATTGTATCCCCCAACATGCTGTCGGAAATTCTAAAATTTTGTAGCTGGATAAGAAAAACACATGTAGCTGCCTATAATTAATTAAACAAACCTTGATAAAAGTCTCTCACGAATCAAAGCAAAATTTCCAACTTCATATTTTTCAAGTGTGAATTTCCCAAATCCATCCTTTCACTATTCCTCATCTCATTGTATTATACTTACGGAAAAGACTACAGTCCCGTCACGGAATGGTTCCGTGAGAGATTTTAGCCTTTAGATATACACGCACTTTAGTTATTATTATAAATAATCTACAGCTAAAATTTCTCACGGACCCATTCCGAGACTGCAGTCTTTTCCATTAATTACACATGCTACATTAAATAGTTAATCTTAGTTTGTTTTGCCGATTTTGTCATTGTAAATTTGTAATGTAGTATGTGTCGAGACATTTGACCAACTATGACTGAATTAATCAGCATGACACCGCATTGCGTCATGCTCATGAACCCCTCAACCCTATAAATAGCATAACAACCAAACAAATTATCACCAGCTACTCCTCAAACTCCAAATCTTCAATGACGTTCCCTTGTCTGATAACTCTAGTCTTCACCTTGGCCGCAGTCCTCAGTACTCGGCCCGCAGCCTCTTTCCCTCCTGGAGGCGGCCCGCCCCCTTTCGACCCGAAACCTTTCCACCAGTGCATTAACAGCCACCGGTCGTCCAACGACACCCCTACCGGCTTCACCCTCCCTTCCGACCCGTCTTTCCCTTCCATCCTTAACTCTACCGCCATGGACACCAAGTGCCTTGCCCCCAACATCCCCAAGCCCGCCCTCATCATCACCCCTTACTCCGAGGCCGAGGCCCAGTCGGCCGTCGCCTGCGCCTTCCAAAACCATGTCCGCATCCGTGTCCGCAGCGGGGGCCACGACTACGAGTGCCTCTCCTACGCCTCCTTCATGGGCCTCCCCTTCGTCGTCCTCGACCTCCAGAATCTCCGGAACATCACCGTCGACGTGGCCTCGAAAACCGCGTGGGTCCAGGCGGGGGCCACCGTCGGCGAGCTCTACTACGCGGCGGCCAACGCCAGCTGCGGGACGCTCGGCTTCCCCGCCGGCCTCTGCACCACCATTGGAGTCGCCGGGAACTTCCTCGGCGGTGGCTATGGGATGATGATGCGGACGTACGGCCTGGCGGCCGACAACGTGGTCGACGCCCGGCTCGTCACGGCCGACGGCCGGCTCCTCGACCGCGCGTCGATGGGCGAGGACCTCTTCTGGGCCATCCGCGGCGGGGCGGGGGGGAGCTTCGGGGTCGTACTTGCGTGGAAGGTACAACTCGTCAAGGTACCCAAAAAGGTCACCGTGTTCAACGTCATCAAGACGCTCGACCAGCCAAACGGGATCGACGTGCTGTACAAGTGGCAGAACGTGGGCCCGGTCGTCAACAAGAAGCTCTTCATGAGGGTCCTGATGGAGCCATACAATTCTACGGTGATGACGATCTACAGCTCGATGTTCCTCGGGAGTAAGGCCGACTTGCTCCAGCTGATGAATGAGGAATTCCCGGAGCTGGGGTTGACGGAAAATGGCTGCTCGGAGGTGAGCTGGATCGAGTCCGTGATGTTTATAGGGGGATACAACACGAGCACGACGAAGCCCGATTACTTGCTACAAAGGATTCCCGCATTCAAGCTCAACTTCAAGGGGAAGTCGGATATGGTGAAGGCCGTCATCCCAAAAGCAGGGCTGGAGGGGCTGTGCAATGCCGTGAGGCAGAGCAACGGGTCGCTGGTGGCGATGACGCCTTATGGAGGAAGAATGGCGGAGATTCGGGAAGACGCGACTCCTTTTCCGCACCGCAAGGGCGTGTTGTACATGATACAGTACGTGGCGCAGTGGTACCCGGAAGACAAGTGGCCAGAGGTGCAGGACGAAACGTGGGTGAGGGGGCTTTACAATTACATGACCCCTTACGTGTCGAGTAACCCGAGACAGGCGTATGCGAACTACAGGGATCTCGATCTGGGGAGGGATGCTAACAGCTGCCCGAACTGCAGCTGCCCGAACATATGGGGCTACAAGTATTTCAAGAACAACTTCATGAGGCTCGTGGCTGCGAAAACGAAGGCCGATCCCACTGATTTCTTCCTTCATGAACAGAGCATCCCCACTTATTCGACGCTCAACACCTGCATTCCCTTGGTGTCTTGAGCTGCATTCATAAATAGTTTGTGTGGCGATTTTATCTTTTCGACCTTTTT